GGGGCGGCGAGCTGAGCTCCGTCATTGGCCTGCAAAAGCGCGGTTTGCGTGGGCTCATGGAGGGTCGGAGGATGCGCGAGCGTACCGGGACCAACTCGGGTACGAGTATGAGTGCGGGCATGACGCCGTACGGCAGTCAAGGCCGCGTCGGTCTCGGCATAGCTGGATCGTGATTCGAGCTGTTGCAACAGACTCGGGGAGATCTCGGCCCCATGGGGTGTGGAGGTAATGAAGTTATGATAGCATGTCCGATGCAGCATTATTCCCCCAGGAGAGCGACGCAAGTTGAAGCCCGTGGCAGCGATTGCACGGGGAAATTGGAGAGCGGATGTTTTGAGAGAAATATGTATAAGCGGCCTGCTGGATTTGTACGCAGCCGACCGATGCCAAGAGCGAATCTACAATGATACAAAAGAAGAGAAAAGCCCGAGCCCTCCTTGCTTTGTGATCGCTACCCCAACGCCCCATGGTAAAGCTTCCATGCTCCATGTGTATATCTAACGGGAAGCCGTTGCTCGTGATAATGCCAATCCACCTTTTTCATGTCGAATGCCATCAGGCCTGCGAGCGAAGAATAGAAGAGAAGGGATCAGAAAGAAAGAGGATAACTGAAAAGGATCGCCGGGCAAAGCCGCTAGCCGGAGTAGGGACAAGCACCAGAGAAAGGGCAAGCACCGCGGCCGCGAGACTTGAGGTCCTCGACACCCTCAGCCAGCTCCTCCACGCCCTTGCCCATCTTCTCCTTGGGGCCAAGGTCCTCAAAGAGGTAGCCCTCGGGCATCATCTTCTCCGCGCCGGGAACAGTGCCGCCCAGGATGCGAGTGATCCAGCTCATCGGGCCAAAACGGTTCCAGAAGGTGGCGGGGATGTAGTAGGGGTGGACGAGGTACTCATGGTGCTGGATGCGTCCGGTCTTGGGATCGGGCTCAGAGAAGAAAACGACGGGGGAGAAGCGAGGGAGCATGAGGTGGCGGACGATGAAGCGACGGGTGATGAGGGCTGCGTAGGCAGTGAAGCAGGCGTAGATGCCGGGCTCGGCGAAGCTGATATCTCAACGTCAGCGGCAGTCCTCATGTGTAAGAGAGAGCGGAGGCAGGCCAAGCAAGCCAAGCCGGGCACACGAGTACTGTACTCACCAAAAGGTGTCGCGGATGCGGTCGCCCATGAGCACGGTCAGAACCTCCTGGGCAAAAGACTTTGCAAACTTGGGGACGTGCCAGATCATCATCTCCATGAGCTGGGCGCTGGCCTGAATGTTGTTCTTGTGAGGCTTCATGGCGTCGATCTCGTAGCGCTTGGCCCAGTCGGTGATGTCCCGGGCGAACTCAATGCCGTCGGCCCACGAGTCCTGGGAAAGGTAGCCCTTGTACTGGATGTCCATGGAGTCGCCGAGGGCCTTCCAGTGGGTACCGATGGCGCAAAGCTCCATGTCGGTGAGGGAGCGCCACTCGTAGAGTTGCATGAAGCGGGTGGGCTCGGTGACGCAGACGGCGAGGGTGTAGAGGAAGTCGGCGTTGGAGATCTGGCCGCGGGCCTTGTAGCCGCTGTGGAGGTAGTTCATGCGGGAGATGGCCTTGAGGCAGCGGTCCGAGGTCGGGGGGTTCATGGAGAACTCGCCAAAGATGATGACGGTGTCTTCGTAGCGCTTCTGAGCATTCTTGGGGTCGGCGAGGTTCTTGGTAGCAACGATGAGCTTGGAGATGGTCTCGAAGCCGTAGGTCTGGAGTGGTGTTGTCAGATTGACTGAGTGACCAATTTGATCATGGATGGGAACGATTGGAAAAATACCTTGAAGATGGCGAACTGGAGAGCCAAGGTGTAGAACTTTGGGAACTCAAACTCAATCATGTGCTTCAGGATGAGCTGGGCATCGTTGTTGGTCATGCGCGCGAGGGAAGCGCGGTCGGTGTAACCCATTCGCTTCTGGAGGTTATTGATGCGTCTGAAGCGGAGAGAATGGCACAAGACGAGGTAGCCTGCAAGGAGAGACAGCAGCATGGACAGGGTGGGAAGGGTCGCAGGCATGGCGACAGTGATGTCCATGATGCGCGTCGTATAGCCCTCAGAGGCGGAGTGGGTGAAGTTGGTATCGGAATCCATGGTGCTGGCGGTGCAGTGTAGATGGTCTGCACAAGGCTGCACTTTTGGGAGGGTGTTGGTGTTTTTGTCAGGTTGAGGTGAGAAAGTAAGCAGAAGCTGCTTTGTGGGAAATATCTAGGTGTAAAGGTGACGGGAATGGATCAAAGACCCCTGAGTAGTGCGAAAACGCAGGAGCGGCAATCTCAAGGCTGTCCTCCCAGCTGGGAAGAACAACAGAGGGTAGGGGATCTGCTGGACGTGCGTGTGTAAGCTTGGGAGATCTGACAAACATTCATATGATGGTTTGAAAAAGCGTTCTTCCAGTAAGATGCGGAGGAGGGGTAGCTGTGTTCAGCAGAGATGCTTACCTTTGTCTCAGACAGCTGTCTTTTTGTGTGTAAGAATGTTGGTTTGCCTTGGGTAGTGTTGTTAGGAGGTTTTACTTAAACCTGAGTCAAAAGTGCAGTGAATGCTCAGGATTGAAGAGTGAATAGACAGAGCCAAGGCCAAGGCTGCTGCTGACCAAAGGAAGTGAGGGGAGAGGTGAGATATGAAGAAGAGCAGATGGAAAAGGGCAGCAAACACCAAAAGTCCCTTTGACCCCCTGTTGACACGAACATGAGGAAGTCCAGATGGGGGGAGGTAGCAGGGGGGGACCCTGGGCCTTATCGCATTTGTCGGGCCTGGAGGATCATCTGGGGGAGCTAGGTAGGCAGGCTGGCGAGGAATCATCAGGCTGGAGGTCGCACCAACCACCATGCGGAAATGCCGTGGGTGGCGGCGGATGGTTTCTTTGAGGATTCTCCAATATCCCGTTGTAAATCCGGCTGGTTTCTTTAGCAGCCACTGTTGATTGCCGTCCACATCACCCACTGCCCGGGCTGCTAGGTGGTGGGGACGCGTGTAAGCCTCGTGGAACCGTCGCTGTCAGTCGGGTTTGGCCTAGACAAAGGAGCTGTGGTAATTGCCTATCTCGGGCACAGATGGCAGATCTGCCTGATTTCCCTCAAAGTCTGAGATGCTCGGAAATGTCCCCGATGCCAAACACCAAACGCCAAACGCCAAAACGCCCGGCGTCAAGTACTCAGGTACCTGAGGATGCTCCGGGCACGTGGTGAAGCACAGCTCAGTGGGATGCTTACACTCTAAATTCCCAAAGCACCAAGGAAGAAGCTGGAGGGGCCAGAGCATCCGACTAGGTAAGCAATGTAAGGTACCTTACCTGTTCTTAAGATGCTGAGGCAAACACCCCTCATCGACATTGCCGGCTTACCTTAGCAGCGGGAGGCGCACCCCGCACCTCCCCTATTGGCCGCCGCCATCTCGTGAAGAGTCCCGGCTCCGAGGATCAATTGGGCCTAACTGCCTTCTGACAGGTACGAAAAGGGGCAAAGAGATGAGCCAGGTGTGCGTGTCGACATCTAGAACTGCTAGCACCAGCCTTAGCCTCAACTCCTCCGTCGGGCTTGCCACCGGCAATTGTCAGGCACCTGTGGCTGGACCTTCTGACTCGACCCCTGGCTGGATTCCAGTGTCAACGAACGACTCTGGAATGCATCGCCGGGAATGAGCAAAGAGCCCCGTCAACGGCTTGTGTCTTGGCAGGGCCGGAGCTGAGCGCTGATATCAGCCACAAATGACGGAAGGTAGGCCACCCATGGACAACCGTCCTCGTGGGTTTTCTTCAACGATTAGCTAATGACCGCAGATGTGCAATGGGAATCTCCGCAGTATCGCCGCTACCATCTATCTGCCGTGCTGTCTGGAATGTCGAGGATCGTCCAGCTTTGACTTCTGATCTACGGCACATCTGTGACCATCTTCAGTCGTGAGACTCGAGGAAAACGTCCGCCTCTCGAGGCTGCGGGATCATCATATTTCCATGTCTTGCAAGTGGCGGTGATGGCCTGTCTGCCTCACGTCAAACGATGGAGGCATTGCTTTGCGAATAAATAGAAAGGGTCTCAGGCTGGGAGAGACACGGGGTATCAAGGGGATTGTCGAGGCTGTTCAGCGGCAGACCATGGACGTCACAAGCGATCCGAGTGGAATCATCGTTGGCGATCTGCGCACACAAACATTCTATTAACGACACGCGCTTGAGGCGGCGCATAGCGGTCAGGTTGACGGTCTCTGCTCGTCTCTTCTCCGCCATCGTCACCTCGACCGACGCCTGCAGAAACAAGCGCTCGGCTGTGTGTGGGGGAAGCGAGGGTTGCTCTGCAGAAACGCTGCACGGTAGCTGTCTGAGATAGATGAAGTGCCCATGCTGAACCCTTGTCTTGTGTTGGTTCGGTCGTCTTGCGGAAAACGGCGATGCGAGGGAAGGGAAAAAAGGGTTGAAGGCGAGGCCAGAAGGTGAAGAAAAAAGGTCGCGGGGCCCGTGGTAGGGACACTGCATTGGCAACACTCACTGAATGGTACCTAAGGTACGGGAACCCACAGCTGCTGTGGAGAAACACCGGCCCGTGGTGGAACCAAGACGTCGATCAGAAAGCAGTTAGCGCGGGCCTATTTCCAGCCCTGGCCTCTCAGAGGCCCGGCCGCCATCCACCGTTACCCACAAAGCTAAGAACAGCTCCACTCAGCCTTCCAGGCGCGCGTCTAAGTCAACCTTCATTTCGTGGTTTCCACCTTTGACAGCGCACAACCGCTCGAACAACACCAGGCCCTCTTTCGCCCTCTCTTTCGCCCTCTCTTTCGCCCTCTGCCTCTCTCTCGCCCATCTCTGTGCCATTGGATCATTGAGTGGTTCATCTGAATCCAGCTATGCGCATGCAAGATTCCATGCAATGACCCGCTCTGCTCTGCGAGCTACCCGTCCAGAGCGAGCGAGCCAGCCAGCGAGACAGAGAGAAAGAGAGTCGTTGGAGGTACCCCTTGTCCGTCAATCGGTATGCGCGTCGCTTCCAGGCATAGGCATGGGTTTTGCTTGCTGCCGCTACCACCGTCCGCCAACAACCACAACATTGTCCTCGCCCTCGTTCCTTCCATTGATGCAAGTCTACGGCAAGGCATCTTGGCTACGTACCCTGCCGCGCGCGCATACATACAGAGAGACAGAGAGAGCAGAGTCGCCTCCAATGCAATGCGCCTCCCCTGCCTCATTTCTCGTCCCGGACCCCAATTGGCTACTTCGCCGCCGCTGTGGGGTCTCAAGTCCGCTCCAACGCACTCCGGCGGCTCAATGCTCATGCTCATGCTCAAGCCCATGCCCACCTTCAACCTCACTGCTACACCATCATATCACAGACTGACAATCCAGCAGTACCAACAGCTCCCCAGAACAAGCTTACCCTTGCCCGCAGACTGATCGACGGCCACACCCCACGTATGTCGTGGCATGATCTAGCCCTAAACCCAGACGAACCTCTCCAGATGGAGCCTCGCAACCGCGGCAAGGCTGGCGCCTACTCATACCCAACACTTTTGCTAATTTCGACCCTCTTTTCCCGGCCCCAATCTCTTCCCGTTTGAGCCGTATGCTCCCTTCTTCGGCACCCCGGTCTGCCGTCCGATCATGCCAAGTTCCATCGTAGCCGCCCTCCAGACCCGGCCAGTTCTACGCGCCCAACTCCAGACAGACGCCCATCTTCACCATCCCTCCAGCCAATGTCGTCCGCCCTCTGTCTGGACGCCCGCTCTTTTGGACACACGAGACGGGTTTCATGGCATCGATGGCTGCGATTCTGCTCTTTTGCAGCCATGCTGTCTTGTTTCACATCTTCACCACCCCGGTCTCATCTCGACCGCGCTTCTTCGCCTCTTTGTCCCCCCCGGCAGGCCGTGATGTTGCTTAAAGTCAGACCCAATATCCGCCTCCTCGACCTGATTCTGACCCTCCTGTTCCTCAGTCTATCAAGCAACCTCACAACAACTCACAACATTTCCTTTTCCGTCTCTTTTCCTTTTTCCTTTTTTCCTTCCAAGTCTTCGTCATCGTCATCGTCGTAGCATTTCCTAAGCCAGATTTCCTAGATTTCTTCTGACTTACACATCTCCATTCGCTATCTCGCTCCTCTATTACTACTCTATATCCATCATCGGCCTCTCTCCTGAGTCTACCTCCAGGCGAGGCACGAACACCAACGAAACGAAACTCTCACTTTCGACACTTTCAACTCTCTCTTCGCAGCTTAATCCTCTAATCTGCATTCGTTCTTATCCTACGTCTTGACGGCAACTCTCTAGTTGCCCCCTCTTACAACATATCTTCCCACGGTATCATGCCCAAGCACACGCGGGCATCCAGTTCGAGCCACCACCGCTACATCAACTCCATGCCTGTTTCTCTCGCTCCCGCGGCGAACCCCATCGCCATGTACAACCAGAGAATGTCAATGCCGCAGACCTACTACACGGTGCCCTCCTCTTCAGCCCCGATGCAGCCCCAGCCCCAGCCCACCTACGAAAGCTACGCCCCGGTGGCCGCACCCCCGGTCTCGGTACCTCCTCTGCAGCACCGCGCCTCTTCCGGGGCCTGGACGCCGCAGGACGACCAACAACTTCTCTCGGCCCGTTCTCAGGGCCTGAACTGGGGTCAGATCCAGATGGCCTACTTCCCAAACAAGACCCCCAACGCCTGCAGAAAGCGCCACGAGCGTCTGATGGAGCGCAAGGGTGCCGACGACTGGGACAACCGCAAGCTCGAACGCTTGGCCAAGGAGTACATGAGCATGCGCAAGGAGATTTGGTCTGCTCTCGCAGCACGCACCGGAGAGAAGTGGAACGTTGTTGAGTCTAAGGTATGCTCAACCATGATGACACCAACGAGATGTACGACTCATCTGCTAACCAAGCCTCTGCAGTGCATGTCCAACGGACTCAAGAATCTTCAGAGTGCGGCCCGCGCCGGGGCCAGACGGGAGCGCCTGGAATCGGGGCAACCACTACCACCAGGGTATGACGATGACAGCGGCATCAGCGGCCTCGGGTTAACCCCAGTTGACGAGCTAGACGCGTCCTACAGTAGCCCGGAGATGTCCTCCGGCCACTCCAGCGGCGGCAGCACCACCTCGGCCGCCGGTTACGTCACCTCCTTCTCCCAACATCTCCAACCTCTCCATGCCGGACAATACGGCTACGGCCACGCGGGCGCCCATCACGGATACAACAGCTCTGTTTCCTCGAATGCCTCGGTCAACGGCGGATACCCAGGCCAGTCACCATCTGTCTCACCCGGCCCACAAATGTATCAACACGGCCAGAGGTTGCCGAGCGTGGACATGGGCATCGACGCCATCATCAACCGTCCCGGCGGTGGCGGCCAACATCCCATGTGAGGGTGTCGTTATGTTTCCTTTCTATCAGAATGATTGAACGCTCGTTTACAACAACAAGTTTGAACTCGGAGGCTTTTTCGTTTTTACACAGGATCTTGCTTTTATTTCCTTTTTTAGCCCTAGGCCCATGTTGCACCGTTCATGGACAATTGGGGTGGCGTTGCAGGCGTTGGGATGGCCGATACAACCGGATATACCGTTGACAAGAAAGATGGGTGGAAAGTGCGTGCTCCTCCAACAGGGTGGCTTGAGAGACGGGGACAACAGCACACAGGCAGTATGACTTGCCTTGGTAATGACAACGGGCGGAGAAGCACCCAAGGAGTCATGGTTGTGTACATTAGCATCTATAGATACCAAGATGATGGTGGCTGGTATGAAAAGGGGGAGGGACCGGAGAAATGCAACCAAATGATTTGAAGTTCACAATCGAAACGTCTATTCGGTCAGCTGCGTCTTCTAGTCGTAACAACACACACAAACACAAAGCTACAGAGTGAGGTCGGTATCTTGAGCCCGGGATCCTAGACCGAGGCCCTCCCGATAGAACCGCTTCTTTCCATGACAAAAGAGCACACTATGATACATGGCAAGTTCTATGCTTGCCGCCTCTACCACTATCTGCGCGGGGCGGGTAGAGTAACAGGCATCTCGTCTAGCTCGTCGTCTTCCCATTCATCCTCGTCGCTGCCCATGACACTATTCCACACACGACTCCACATGCCCTTCTTATGCAGCAGCGCCAGCACCAAGACGACGGGCAGATGCCAGACGCTGGCCCAGAACAGACCCCTGGCCGAGCCCTTGTGGCCCTCGTACTTCCAAAACCGCACGGCCTGCCACGAAAGCCATCCGTTGACCGGTAAACTCGTCACGGCGAAGCTCCACTCCGTCACGCCGGCAGCGCAAAGCGCCACGCAGAGGGGGATGAAGGCAATGCTGTACCTCAGCGCAACGCGGGCGTTGCGGGCGGGGTTGGTCCACGCAAGCATGCGCAGGCCCGCCGCCTTGTACTCTTCTCTGATGGGCCACGAGAGGGCCATGAAGTGCGGGAACTGCCAGGCGAACAACAGACCGGCCATCAGCCAGCCGCCGATGGAGCTGCCGTCGCTGGCGAGGAGAAGTTCCCGCCAGGAACCGTCGCCCGAGGCGGTCTCGCCTGCGGCCGCGGCCCAGCCCATCAGCGGGGGGATGCCGCCGACGACGGCGCCCAGCCAGGTGTTGGCGACGCTCATGGCCTTCATCGGGGTGTACATGCCTGCGTAGATGAAGATGTTGGCGCCGCCGAGGAATGCGACGGTCGGGTTGACGCCGAAGTAGAGAGCGCCCACGCCGGTGAGGGCCGTGGCGACGGCGAACATGACGGCGGCGCGCGTAGAGAGCAGGCCTCTGACCAGAGGACGATTTCTCGTGCGGGTCATCTTGGCGTCGGTGGAGGGCTCGTAGAGCATGTTCAAGGAGTTGGCCGAGGCGGAGCATAGGGCGGTGCCGGTGGTGAGGAACAGCAGCGTCAACGGGCTGAGCGAGGGCGACTCGGTGATGGCGGGGGAGAGGAAGGCGGGGACTGGGTACAGCGCGTAGGGAGCCATTGCGGTCAGCACGACGAGCGCGGAGAGGCGGGGTTTCGAGAGGGAGAGGAGGGTCGAGAAGATGCGACGAGCGGAGTGGGCGGGTTGCCGTTCGGCGACGCTGGTGAGGGCGGAGGAGGCATCTTGAGGGAGGGGTACGTCGGGTGAAGAGGAGGCGGCGGCTTTACGTTTCGCGGCCTGGCGGCGGCGGTGGGGGAGTTCGTGGGTTACAGCGAGGTGGTTCGGCTCGGATTGTGTGTTGGAGGAGGAGGAGGAGGAGGAAGAGGCGATCGAGGCCGAGGCGGAGACGGAAGAGCTTCGGGTTCCTGAGGGTCGAGGACGGTCCAGGACGCTGTTGGGGAGGAAGTAGCTCGCACTAAGACGCACGGCGGGGGCGGCCTTGGGTGCCGTCGTGGAAGCGGCGCGCCGGAGGATTAATGGCGAGGAGACCAAGCCGCGAGGGGAGGTGGAGGCTTGGTGGAGGCATTGGCGACACACATTATCGAGAAGACGAGGGCGCAAGAGCGTATTGGGAGCTGGCCGCATGGTTCTTGCTCTGCTCAGTGTCTGCGCTCATGTCTCTGCCTGTGGAGGGGAGAGCGAGGGCGAGGACGGCGGTCGACAGCGGGTGCTTCTCACTGAGCCATGCGCGAAGCTTTCGATCGATCCGTTGAGAGGGGCTGGGGACGGAGGTCGTGAGCCGGCGAGGTGATCGGGGCGTCGTCGGTCGGGTGGGCGGGCGAGCAAGAAGTTCAAGAGCGTGGGAACATTGAAAGAATCATCATGCGGACGACACGGCCTGGCGGGATGGATGGGCTCAGAAAATATTTGGCCAATCAGGTGGTGGCTGATGGAGGAGTGAAGTGGTTCCACTTTTCCCGGACTCTCACACTGTCGGGTCGGGTCCACCGCTTCGGCGATCGGCGGGCACTTTGCGGCATCCGAAGTCTTCAAGAACACCCGCATCATCATTAGTACTTATGAATGGGACAAGTCTTCATGATTACTGATCTGCCCCCAATAGAGACCCTAACGCCATCCGTCTAATGCACGATCAACAGTCCCTCTCAGCAGTCTCAAGCATCCCCCAACTCGTCTTCATCCTCAGCCACCCTTGTCTTCTTGGGTGACCCGGCACGCCCCTGAGCATTCGTCTCGTCGCGCTTACGCTTATCGCCAGTGTTGTTTGGTGCCTCATCCCCAGACGCAGTTTCCGGCACCAACTCGCTAGAGTCTGCCACGCTCAGGTCATCCTCTTCACCTGTGTCCTTCCACGTTTCGTCGCGAGGAAGCCCCATCGAACGAACCCCGCGTGTCTTGCGCCGTATCGTCTTGTTGCCATCTGCATCTTCAACCTCTTCATAGTACTCCTCGTCCTCGTCATCATCCTCTTCATTGTTTATGAAGTTGCCGTCTGCATCCGCATTAACCCCGTCTTCATCCTCATCCTCATCATCCTCGTCATCCTTGTCATCACCAGGGAAGGGAAGACGCCAGTTGCCCTTATTATCATTGTGATTGGGGTCGTGCTGCCAGGTCAGGTTGGTGCGTTTGCTTCCATCTGTAGGGCACATGGTCTTCGCTAGCTCAGGGTGTTCATCCAAGAAGTCGGCCTTGAGTTTGGAGAGTCGGACCTGCTTCGGCTGTTTGATCCAACCGACTCTGCTCGGCAAGATTGGCCAATCTTCTTCATCGACTTCAAACATTCCCTCCTTTGCAGGAATGCGACAACTTCGGTTCGGGTCCGAGTGGGCCTGTGAGGAAAAATGAGTCAGTCATGAACATGGTCATCAGCGCAGGAAGTGGGTTCTCTTACATCGACTTGGGCTTGTCTGTCCGGGTCACCGCGCTTGATGCCTCTTGGGCCTCGCTTAGGGGCTTTGCGGAAGCATCGTGAGCAGTACATGTCATCATCAGGGACAAAGCCGCTTGTGGGGACGTCGTTTGTCGGAACAGGGACGGGTCCGAAAGGCTTAGGTCTGGTTGGAGGCCGGGGCTTGGCTGGGGGCTTAACTGTCGGCTCCGATGTAGGGTGACTGGATGTCGGCTTCGAGGGAATCGGCTTCGAGGTAGTCGGCTTCGAGGGAGTAGGCTTCGAGGGAGTAGGCTTCGTCGGGAAAGGCTTCGTCAGGACAGGCTTCGAGGGAGTAGGCTTCGACGGGACAGGCTTCGACGGAGTAGGCTTCGTGGTCACAGGCTTTGTCGTCGAAGGGTCCACAACCTTGGGAGGGTTGCTGCTACTGCCACCTCCGTCGTTGCCACCTCCGCCTCTACTGATGTCTCCCGAATGGCCGCCCGTGTTGGCTCCTCGGCCCTCTCTGGAACCATATGGGGTTATAGGCGGTGTGCGCTGGCCAGAAGGCGGAATTTGTGACTCTCCGATCTCAACACCTTGCATGGGATCCGTCACAGGCTGAGACTCCTGAGGACGGTTTACATCCCGGCGGCCTCCAGGGCGAGAGTTGTCAGGCTGTTCAAAGAGTCCAGTGTCTGTAGATGCAGTCCCTGGTGGTCCTGATTGAGCACCCGTGTTTGTGCCTGGGATAGGCTGCTTGCCCTCTCGTATTCTCTGCTTCTTGCGCTCTTCCCTCAATCTTGCCAGTTCGGCTTCCCTGTTCGGCTGCCTACCGATAACGAAGTCTTCAGCACCATGCGCCGTCTCCATGTGATGGTTCAGTTGTCGCTGGTTCATGAATCCCACCATAGCTCCGCACCTCTCAAAATACGGGCACCTCTTGTCGCGTCGATCTACGGCCCTCTCGTTGTCGGGATCCCACATGCTGTGACCGGGGCCGAACGGCTCTCGCTGCGGTATATGAGGGATGTCCTTGTCCTCCAAGATTTTCCAAAGCTCGTAGACGTGGCATTCCATATGCCTGACCTGGAAGATTCGTGCTTGAATCTCTGGAAGGTTCTCGTTCGCTTTGCGTTCTTCCTCCGGGACTCGGAAATCGAGGCGGCAGAGAGGGCATTGCTTCAGGGGCATGCCGCCGTGCTTCGTCTCGTAGTGAACCAGAACCTCAGACGGCGTGAGACCAAAAAGAGGTTCGAGGCACCCACGAATGGTGCACTCTGCCGGAGGATCTTGCACGGGACTCGGGCCAGGCTTGTCGTGCCACGCCAACGGGTAGCTCAAAAAGCGGTTGGGAGCAGGGCGCCGTGGCTGTCGGCGAACAAGATCCCGAGTAGCATTCGAACCGATGTAGAGCGGATCCGTTGGCTGGTCGCTATCCTTCCAGTAGCCTTCCGGATAGATCTCAAACGGTGTAATGTTAGGCGGCTTCTTATCGGGACAGTCTATGATGTGCTTCTTGATGGTCTCGATCTCTTCCTGCTTCCCGTCCACGACGAAATTCTTTTGGCAATAAGGGCAAAAGCAACCCACATGGGCAAAGAAACCGCCGCAATGCTGACGATGCCGGTCGATCTTTTCGTCTGAGAGCTTTCTCAGGGAGAAGCCACACTTGTTGCAGAAAGGTTTCTTGGAATGGGACGTTCCTCTGCAGCGGTGCGGATATTCGTCATACGGGGCGAACTCATCCCTGACCTCTTTATTGTTCCAGACGGCGTCGCCGCACGTTTCGCAGAAAGTACAACGACCGACTGCTTCGGCGTGAGGTACACAAGTGCGATCGTGGTGGTCACGCTCATCCCTGTCATTGAGCACGTGGTGGTCCCGGCCACATCTGTCGCAGTACCGATATTCGCTTTCCTTGCCATTAGCCTTCGGAGGTGGGCTCAGTTTCGGTAGAGGTCCTTTTGGAGGCTGAAGTCGCCCAAGGATGGTGGATGGGATGGCACAGAGATCTTCAGATGTAGACTGAGCCACTGTCGGCTTTCTGGTTGCTGAGCGAGGGTCAGGCATGTTCAGAATCTTGCGCAACTGAGCTGCGTGCTTCTCCTTGATGTGCTCCTCTCTTTGCTGGGAAGTCCAGTGCGTAAAGAGCTGCACATCGCACCATGGGCACTTATTGTCAACATGACTCTCCTTGAGATGTTGCACAAACTCAACGTCCTTGCCCTGGCGATAGTCGTATTTGCACTTCTCGAATGGGCATCCGTTTTGGCGATCAAGAATCATGTTGCGGTACTTCCAGCCCAGTTCTTGCAAATCTCGCTGCTCAGTCGCCGTGAGAACATTCTTGTTGAACAAGTACAAGTTTGTATCGCTTCCTCCCGTCCTCATGATCGCTTCAATTGGCGGTGCATTGATGGGGATGGACGGGTTGTATATGCCTCTGTCGAATACGCTCGGCTGCTTGGACCAAGTCTTCTCACGAGCGTTCTCCTCGGGTACTCTCTGCTCTGGACGTTCATCAGGTGGGTGCGGGAAATTCTCTCTGGCCAGGCTGATGAGAGGGAGACCAAGTTCGTCCCGGAAGCGTGTGACGTCGCCATACCGAGGCCCCCATTCAGACCTGTCAAGCTGTTTGACTGTGATTATGTGGTCAGCAGTGTTGTACAAGTCTAACATGGAGAACGTCCTTACCAAAATCTAGCTTATCGTCCTGTAGGATTGAAATTTGCACCTCTTCTGCAATGATGCGACGTCTGATCATCGCCAGCTGGTTGTCGGGGTCATTCGGTCGAAGGATAAAAGGTGCCGGATTCCAATCATTGGCGAACTTCCTTGGGATCAAGGGCTGGAGCAGGATGGAATGTTTTTCGGGATCATACTCGATGTTGGGACACCCTTCGTACAGTTTCCGAACCTTGGACTTGAACGTCGCCATCGCATGGGAATCTACGTTGAAGTCTTGATGTCCATTATTCCACTCCTGGCTGAGCATTCTGCAGGTGACATCACCGTCGACCGGCTGGATGACAAACAGCCGGCAAGGCTCACGCTCGTCGCTCACTGAGTCTGTGATGAACCTCGAGAGGTTCTGCTGGTCCTGTTGCCTGGCTGTCTGGTCTAAGTGATGCCATTCTGCCGGTTTGCGCTCGGCCCGGGTGGGATAGATTATGTGACTGAAAAAATCTGTCCCGCGCCAGATACGATACTGTGAAGCTTTCACAGGCATGTGAGACACTCGCATCAAGTTCTCCATTGTCCTGAGCGCGTCTTCGTATGGGTCCTTGGCCCCAGCTTTGTGGGAGCACTTGCGTAATTCCCGCGTAGAGGCGTTGAGCCGGCTTCCAGGTAGATAGAAGACGATAGAGTCCTCGGGTAAGGCCTCGGATGTGATGTTCGTTGGCGTCCTCCTGATGACATGAGGGTGCATCGCCAACCAGAAATAATAGTCAATCTCAAGACCACCATACCAGTGATTTTGGTACGACTTTTGAAAGTCATGTTCGCCGGACAGGACGATATCGCAGTGGCTTCCACCAGGTATCTGTGGGCGTCCGATCAAGACCTCCTGGGCGGTGGTCAGGAAAGGCATGTACTGGTTAGCACCCCACGGGAAGGTCGACGGAAGGGTATGGCTCTGCGACTCTGCCCCAAAGAATACTCCGCGTCGAGGCACGGCGTAGTACGCGAAGTCCGAACCGCCAAAGTCGTTCGTGCGGCTCAATCTGACCATATGGTTTGTGTAGTCGCT